TCTCTCTCTCTTTGAATGATTAATATTGCAAATGTGAATATGAACTATTTTAAGAAAATATAGGTTTTCGTTTTTTTTTTTTTTTTTTTTTTTTTTTTTTTTTTTGGTATGGATTTACCCAAAAATTGAAAGCATTATTCTAATTTTACTAAAATACAATGTAGGTAGGTAAGTTGCTTCTCACAAGACCCTTTGTTATTGTGGGAAATAAAATGCCGATATACATACATTAAAAATAAACGCAAAATTTCTTTCACTACATATAAGAAAAACCATCTAAAAACGGTTTGCGCACATGTGTGCGCGCGCAGTAGGAAAACAAATAATAAAAAAAAAAAAAAAAAACAAAAAGAAAAAGAAAAAACTTTAAATAAACTTTTGCGATTGCGCAGTAAAGACACACAGATGGCGGCTTTAAAACAAACATTCTGAGCTGTGCAAAACTTTTCAAGCAGTTACGAGTTAACTTTCATAACGCATTGACGTTGCGAGCGGAATGTTACATTAAAACGCTTAACTAAAATTATTATAATAAACCTTTTCAGTATTTATGTTTAACGAGTTTTCCGTCACTGTTAATAGCTGTTGTTTTTTTTTGTTGTTGTTATAATTTCATATTTTTTTTTTGTTTTGTTTTCGATATATAATCTTGAATAAGAAGAGGCAATCTTTGGCATTTATATAAAATAAGTATGAAAGTTCTTCAAAAAAAAAAAAAAAAAAAAAAAACAAACAAACAAACAAATAAACAAACAATGTAAAATATGTTAAGAAAAATTTTTAAAAAATAAATTAAAAATGCATTAAATGCAACGATTCATTATTATACGGCGATAACTGAATGATATAGAAAAACTTTTCATTTAATTTAATTATTATTTCTTCAAAGAATTACTCTTGATGTTTATTATATGTAGAGTTTTGTCCAGTTGAAATTGAATTTATTTTTTTTTCATTTTGTTGTTGTTGTCGTTGTTGTTGTTAAATAAAAAGCGAGGTCAGCTAGTTACTTATTGTTACGGTTTGTAAACGTGTATATACGAAAATGCATACGTATATGTATATAATATGAGTGAGATTGTGTGTTTGCATTAACTGACTGGTTGGCTTTCTGGTTGACTGTCTGGTTATTTGAGTGCTTTTCAGATTGTTGGGCCAATAAGCTTAACAACAAAAAACAATAATAACAACCACCAACGGGTACGAACACGTATTAAAATGTTTTCATATGCAAAGCAAAGAGAAAGGATTATGTGTGCAATTTGTTGTTAATTTTCGTGTTGGCAGCTATTAAGTTTTTAAGTCAACAACAAAAGTCTTTTTTTCTTATCTTTGTTTTTCTTTTGTTTTTTTTTTGTTTTTTTGTTTTTTTGTGAAATCTCTTTAAAAAGTCAAAACAATTCGCTTGTCTCTTCGATTATTGTCAGGATACATTTGTTTGCATTGTTGGCATCGCTAACATTCCCGTAGCATATTCTTAAGAATTTCTTACGCCTTTTCATACCCATCATATAACCAAGGATAAGAGGTTTATTCGTTTTGTCGGAACGTTTGCAACGCCCAGAAGGAAGGAGCTTCAGACGCTCGACAAGTTATTTATATATATACTTGATCAGCAGCAAATTCCCAATCGGTTTAACCATGCCCGTCTGTTCCTTGGCCCGTTTGTCCGTCTGTGCAATGTTCGATATATGCATTCCCTTGGCCGCAAAAATGAAGCTACCAACTTCAAATTGGGCAGAAATATTGGAAGTTCGTGTGCTCAGGTTGGTACTGACGGGAGATTGATGAACTGATCGAAGAACACGCCTATTGTACCACGTACAAATGAGGACATTTTTGTTTTTCGGAAGAAATAAAAAAATTTTTTTTTTATTTGCTCGCTACAGCAAATGAGACTACAAAAATTTAAACACGCATTCTATTACCTGCAAAGTTGGAAGTGACCTAAACTGTTCAAAGGGGACGCGTACACGACCCGCTCGTCTATGTGACAAAAACTTTTATTTTAAAAATAGGAAAAAAAAAAAAAAAAAACACAGCCGCTTCTATCCTTCCATATTACACAGCATGAAAATGTAGTTTTTTTTTTTACTTTTTTCATCTTTTTAGGACAATGGTGATCTGTATTAAAGATTCGGTCACGACCGAATATAATTTTCGTACTTGTTTTTTGTCTTTTGATATCCGTTGTGCATATATAAGCTTCGTGTCAAGCCTTGTGGCCTTCTTGAATGTGGCGCCAATATGATTTTGTATGTTGCCAATATTGATCGTTGGAGGGAAGGAAATTTTTAATGACATTGCAATGATGAAAGATAATAAGATATTTTTACAACCTTTCACTTTTTGCAAAAAAAAAAAAAACGTCCCTTGTTAAGATAGATTTTTTCACGCAGAATTATATTAAAGGTTCTTAATTCTTAAACTTTAATTCCTACAAAAAACGATTTAACTTTGGTAATTTGCGACTAACCGGAGATCTTTGCTAATGCTTTAAATAAATGTATATAACTTTTACTGTATTCTATTCACTATGGTAGTAGTTGGACTTAGGTTACATGAATTCATGTTCATAACCTAAGTAAAGTCCATTTCGAGAAAATTGTCGACGGTTTTTTTTTCGATTGAGGGAGTGGGGAAGGGGGGGAGAACACGATATATCGCAATCATAAACGGGATTCTCTGATTTATCTACAAATGCCTGAGAGCTGTCCAAGGCAAATCGATGACGCGTTGAAATGACTGGAAATCATTTGATTTTGAATTGTTTATACATTCATCCTTCTATAGGGTCTAGTATTTTAAGACAACCTATATTTTACAAATAAATCAATTCGAAAGACTTAACGAATAAACTTGCTTAAAAAGTAAAGGAAATGGAGAGAAGGATACATCTCAACCGTTAACCGGATTCTCTGATTTATCTGCAGGTGTCGGCGAGCATTCCAAGGCAAACTACGATTTGAGGCAAATCGATGATGCATTGAAATAACTGGAAATCATTTGGGTTTGAATCGTCTATACATTCAATCGTTTATACGGCCTAGTATTTCCAGACAATCTAGATTTTACAAATAAATCAATTCGAAAGATTTAAGTAACAAACTTGATTAAAAAGTAAAGGAAATGCTTTTTTTCTAAAGCATAAAGATTAATTTTCGTTTCGTTTCGTTTCGTTTCGTTTATTTTATTTTAATTTTTAGCTAAAACTATGTGAAAAGTGTGAAGCCAAAAAGAAAACTCGTTTCAAAATAAATAAATGTTTACATAAAATATATTTACCGCGTTTATAAGTTATGTAAAATAAAAAAGAAAAAAAAAAATAAATAAATAAATAAAAATAAATCAATAAAAAAAGTTCAACTTATTCATGAGAAAAATTTAAATTCAACATATGTTCGCTGCGATTTTATGTAGCAAGACAACGTGAAAATCGTTCAAAACACATCATACCGTAAATGATTTATATACTCTTTCATTACTACGTCGATACAATGATTACATAAAATATATATAAATATATATATATGTGTATACTATTTTCAATTAATCTATTTATGGTAATAAGTGAGAAAATGCAATGAAAATGAAACTAAAACTCTCGCAGTAATCAATTTAAATCCGTGTATACAACAGCACTCAACTTCGTATCAATTATCAAGCTCAGCAATTGTATCAAACGAGAAACAATACAATTGCGTTATTCATTAACTGTGAATATACATTCATTTTCATTATAACACACAAAGTTAAGTCAGTCAAATAACGCATCGCCACAACCACCACCACCACCACCACCACCACCACCATCATCGTCATTATTATCATCAACAACCTCCCCAATGTAATAGCTTTGAGAAAAAAAAAAAAAAAAAAAAAACGATACAAAAGAGAGCAGAAATTTTTATACAAGAAAACTCAACAGCTGCTTTGCAAATGCAATTTCAATAACAATAGTTCAACAACATTTGACGTGTTTCGAGTCGATATGCAAAAAATATTGGTTTGTAAACGCATTCGCTTAACTTTTAGATATATTATCTGAGAGAAATTTTCTGAATCTAAGGTACACATGCATATATATTTATAGAAAAACATGTTCAAAATAATGCAACAACAAAAAAAACAAAATCAAAAACAACAACATACAGCTGGTCAACACAATTCGTCCAATACCTTTATGCATATCGTATTGCACAACAACAGAAAAGTGTCACAGCGAATAAAAGTAATTGATGAACGATATACAATGCTTGCGAAATTGCTGTGGTCCATAACGATTTTAATGCAAATATTCAATTCAGCATATAGTCAAGGTAAGTTAAGTGAAATTTTTGCAAATTAATGCAAAAAAAAAATTATTATTATTATTATTATTATTATTATATTTTTTTTTTTTATAATTAATTAATTAAACATTAAATGATTATTAATTAATTATAATATTAATGAAAAAAAAAAAAAAAAAAAAAACTACATTTGCTTCGAATTAAAGAAACGCCTCATTCACTTACTATTTACATCTAATCTTTAGAAAATATGTTTTTTCTCTTTTCTCTTTACATATTGAAAGAAATTCATTTACAATTGCATACAATAGAATTGCATGCATCTAAACTGAGTCAATAGTAGAAATTAATATGTTCGGGATTTCTTATTCACAAGCTTAAATGGCCGCAGATAGTTTGTGCTATAGCATCTAAATTATTCCATTTTTATACCTCTTAACGAGAGCTAGTAGTATTATAAATTTTCATACATCTTAAGATATATATATGATAGAATTAATGAAGTATATTGATCGACATAAAAATCCAAATTCATGCAGTCATGTTCATTGTTCCTCCTTTCTTCTATGTACCTGCTTTTGGTAATGCTGATGATTGCAAAGATTTTAGAAAGAAAATTGAAAATTTGTACATGTAATCAGTGCTTGCATGTATTTTGATCAGCGACCAAAGAATTTTCGAACTGTTTAGCAGTTGTTAAATCAAATTCGATAAGAAGATTCAAAAGGAGGGAAAATGGCTGCCCACTGCAAAATACACTGAGAAGACCTTTTCGAGCCAGTTTTGCGGTTTCCCTGCTTGCCAGGCAAACAAGTACGAGTTTTCTGTAGCGTATTGCGACTGGCGATGAAAAGTGGATCACCGAGTGAAAGTACGACAATCCTAAGTCGTCTTGGATTAGCCCGAACTAGCCATTCACATTGACGCCGAAGCAGATTACTGATTGCCATAAAGCACGAGTTTAGCCGTGCATATGGTGGGACCAGTAAGGTGTGGTGTAATGCGTGCTGCTACAAATGCATGAAACCGTTACTGCAGATGCCTACCGATATCGATTGAACAAATTGGACAATGTTTTGTTGCAAGAATGCCAGCAAAAGCGGCTAACAGTCACGGAAAGCCATCCTCTTGCATGACAACGTGCTTCGCCACATGTTGCAAGAGTTGTCAAGGATACACTGTTGCAGCTGGAATGGGAAGTTCTGCCATTTCCAGCGTACTCACCAGACATAGCTCATAGTAATTACCACTTGACAAGCGGTGTCGTAATGCTGAAGAAGTACGAAAATGGATCGGTGATTGAATCGCTTTCAAACCAATATTGTTCTTTCGACACGGTCATGTTGCCCGAAAGATGGGAGAAAGTTGGGCAAAATAATGCAAAATATTTTGATTAATATATGTTGCACTAATCTATCCCAATAACTTTTTTTTTTTTTTTTTTTTTGTGAAAAAATGACCAAAATAGATGCAAGCATCTAATATTATATACACAATAACATTGTAATCGGCCAAAGCTGAGCATTAGATATCCAAAACTACTTTGTCTAGTACAACTGCTCATTTATTTTCTTGATAAAATATGCGAGCTCTTTAATGGAACAGTGCCCAAAATTGATATGGTACAAATTTAGTAAAGCTAATATGCTTAGTCTTGTTGCGAACTGTTCATGAATACTTTTATACGTGGTAGTATAGGAAAACTAGATCTACGTATTCCAAATATGGTGCAGTTAATTGTTATTGTAAATTACCGTTACGGAATAATTTTCATGAGAAAATGTGAACAGGAAAAAGAGAGACCTCTATGTCATATAAAAATTTCTTTTTCGTCAGAAAAATATAGATATATATTATCTAAATGTGGTGTAGTCAGGCGGTTATTGTAATTTACTATGCTCACCGATATTCTTTTGTGTCCGAATTTATCAAATACCCTCAAAATATGTTCAAAAATTGCGATCAATGGGTGGAACACAAAAATACATGTGCGGCCGTTAAACGGACAAACGGACAGATATGCTTAAATCCATCCAGATAAAGGATCTTAAGCCATTCTGGTTGTTACATACATACGCACACAAACTTATATCATAAATTATATAGAGTATAATTGCTGTCTGCTTTTTGCTGCAACAATTAAAGCAGTGAACAGAAAACGGCAAATTCTATTTTGTAAAAATTCTGATCGTAGTTCGTAACAATGAGTAAAACTTATTTTTCATTTGAGATTGAAAGATTTCTTTAGTTGTTGGAAGTGCTATTCAAACGTCGTTTAAAAAGCCTTAACCAAATGAACCTTTGATTGGAATTTAAGAAATGGGACACTTATCTGATACATGGATTGCTCATATTCGCTTTATAGTTTAAAATGAATTATATAACATATATCTGCAATACATGAAATCGTATAATCGGGATGGCTTATTACAGAGCATGGGATGTATTTTGAGATTATCACCAACTTGTGCAAGTGCCATCAATTCCGGCTGAAGCTAAAATAAAACTTTATTTTTTACCTAAGTACTTAGTCCAATATATCCCCAAGCAATAGATGGGTCAAGGTAAATTTCTGTAAGCGATAAATGGCAATTGTCGTACCAGAGCTAAGTTCGTTGATGAAAATATCCGTAACCAAAGCCTATGTATATGCCTCGGACTACGCGATTCGGCTCCTAAACGGAGCAATTTTTTCTATGGATTTATAAAGTGTTTTTATACTTTTGAAAATAGAGAACCGAAACAAATTGCAAATGCGTTCTTTTAAGCCTTATTAAAATGTTGACATAACCACACTTTTCCTTCAATTTAACAACGATTTGTCTAAATTTTTCTCTTAACAATCTCAGCTACACTTCATCTAAAATATTTTACAATCAAAAGAAAAAAATTTAAATATGTGAACTTTCAAGCAAATAGCTTTAGGTATCTTTTAAAGTAATCGTCTTATAATTTGTCGATCAATAATTCCCGGGACCGACGTTTTTAAAAAAAAAAAAAATCTAAAAACCTAACAAAATTTGATATCATTTCGATAGCTTCGGCAGGCACTACTTGTTTTATTTTCAAACCTATGCAGAAATTCGAATTTCATGTGATGGGAAAAAGTTCTACCTTGGTTGCAGCATATCTTTTTTCCGTCGAAAGCAGTAATTTCTCGATGGTTTAGTGAATTTAAACCAAGCTGTACATAACCCGGGGCAGCAATTTATTCATTATTTTGTATGAAAATTTGAGCAAGAGAAATCTACCATTACGGAATGGAGAGATGGTTACCACGATTACTGTCCTTGTAATAAAAATAGCAAATTATCCGATAATGTTTGCTTACAAGTCTCGGAATTGTACTTCGGGGAAAAGGATATGAATCATTATCAAGTTTGTAGTGTAGATATTAAAATATTATAGAATCGAGTTTGGATCGAGGGCAGCGCTCATGAAGGGCGCTATGAACGATGAATGAACTTGGATTTTATAAGAAAAATGTATGTGTGCTTTTTTTCTTATTCCCGATAATTATTGATTAATGTATTGTATACCCTTGATACCGGGTGTACCAAAGCCATCACATTTTTGATGCAATTTCCCGTATGCATGTGTGTGCGTTTACTTAACTTTAACTACTTTAAAGCGTATATAAGCAGCGTTTATTTCAGTAACTGTAATAAAACCAGTTTAAAATGTCAAACCGCAATCTATAACTATAAATATTTTATAGTATTTTGCACACCTATGGGTACATATATATTTGAATAGAATTGAATTTAATCTTTAAATAGCACAAAATGTGCTTAGGTTGGACAAACTATAGGCTTAACATTTTATAGACTTTAACAAACCAAATTCTATTCTAATTATTTGCGACATGCTTTACAAAAAAAGAAAATACATTTTTTTTCTTCGTTTTTTCAAAAAAAAAAAAAAAAAAAAGAACCGAAATTACTTAGTATTAAAACATTTGGATGTTATTATATGATGAGCATACGTCAATAATTCATTTTTCGTAAAGGATGTGGAAGCAGTTTTTAAAGTCGAAAATCAAGTTTCTTAGTTAGCGGTGCTTGGCGAGAGCGAGAGACTAAAACAATCATTTAATATAAAAATATAAATAAAATAAATTAAGAAATATATGCTTTATTGTTAGTGTATCATAAAAGCGAAAACATGTTAAACTACTTTAAATTGATTTGTGATACAATACAACAATAGAAAGTTTTTTTTATTTCGCATTTGAAAAAAAAAAAAAAAATGGAAACAATTCAACATTTAGAATAAATGCAAATAAACTTTGAAAAATCATTATTATTATTATTACGTTAAATACAGAAATATCTATCGCTAATGTATAAACATTTGATGGTTTTCTTAATTAATTTAATATGTTTTATTAGAAAAAAACAAAAAAAAAAAAAAAATACCAACAACCAGCAGAAGAGTATAAAATCTGCAACTAACCGTGAAGGTCGATGTGGTATAATATGTGTATTATATGTATATAATATGTGCATGGCATACATATTACACATCATTTTGATTATGTATTAATAATTGTTTGCAATTTTTATTTTCATTATATTTAACTTAAAACCGTCATATATAGTCAGAGAGACGTGCATCAAATAAACTAAAGAAAATGAAGAACAACATCTCTTTTAATTGTTAATCAGTTATTATTGTTATGAATGTTGTAATCAAATGCTACTAAGCATAGAATAACATAATCATAAACATGTTACATTATTACGCAGACTAGAAGCACATAACAACCGTTAAAATTATGTCAAAATTTCCATTGCTAAATATAATTTAACAAGTATAAAATGAAATAATTCAAAAAAAAAAAAAAAAAAAAAAAAAAAAATTCAAAAAAAAAAAAGAAGGAAAAACACATTAGATTGGTTATTCTACTCATACTACTTCACTTCACTTTACTTTATGTTTTATTTGTTAGATTCTAAAATAATAGATGGTTGCATGTATTTTGATCAGCGATATCTATTAAAGACAATGGTGCATTAATGTAAAGTATCAATGTACGCAACGGTTAAACTCGTTGATGGAATGGTATATTTTAATTAATATATGTATTTATTCAAGTGCGTTTTTTAAGTGAAAAAAAAAAAAAAACAAAATGATCAAAACACATGCATGCACCTATTGAAGGTCTCATAACATTTGATCGGTTTCGAGCAATAAGACAATTTAACTATCTCTATCCATTTGCCTACTTTTTCCTTTCCTCAAGAAATAAGTTAATTTTAATATGTCTACTCTGTCTCTCTCTCTCTCTCTCTCTCTCTCTCTCTTGAACCAGTTCCATTTCGGCGATATCTTTCTTAGTAACCTATCTATCGTTAAAGAGTTGAAACTTAACCGCTGAACCTTATTAATAAAACTTTTTATTTTCATTAGGTTTTAAGCTCTTCAAGCTTTGCAATATATTGTCATGACTTACAGTTAAGTCAAAGTTCTATAAGGTGTACAAAACAAATTGCAGATTAATTTTCCGCAAATTCTCAACGACTTAGAATGGATGTGTAGGATATTTGCTCTTTCGATTTGTCAAGTTTGATCGTTGGCTTTTGTTCCCTTTTCCCAAACCCCTTTTCATCAACAAATGCAACGGCGTCTGTTTTCTTGCAAGGAAATTTCAAATGCATCATATTTTCGTATGCGATATTGCTTTGTTTCCGATACGATAGAGATGTTAACGTCATTGATGCTGGTTTACAGCAGACAATAAGTGTTTTCGTACGGATATGAGAGCACTTTTTCTACATAACAGTTCGACATTATTGCACAAAAATGGATTTGTCATTGCACAAATTAACTATCCGACCTAAAAGTCAAATTCAAATATTTTTAAGTGATTTTTCATTTGTTTCATAAAATGCCTTGCTACCTTTCAAGTAGTTATGACGTAATGTCTACTTATAGCTTTGATTTGGCCATCATAACCGGCACTATAGACTATAGACTTTATGAATTTAAATAAATTATTGGATATAGAAAATAAGAAACTGTCGAGAAAAAATCGATAAAAATTACTCATAAAAAGTATTCCTATCTTTACCAATAGGTGTTTGCATGATACGCATTTCTGGTCATCGTAAACGGTGAATGAGAAAATCATGGAACCGCTTATCGTCGATTAAAAATCATACAAGCCTTTCATATAAAAGCCTAATACAATTACTTAAACCGATGCTAAGGTTAGCGTTGCACGCGTTCAATAATATTTGGCGCAACAGTGCAAGCATTATTCACTTTTGACACAAATATTTCATTCTTAATTGCTTACCACAGGAAGTTTCCAATGAAATATTTCTCTTACTGATACCGTCACCGTTACCGTCACCGTCATCGTCATAATTATCGACATAGTCTTGTTTGTTGCCAGTAATTGACCATCTGGACGGCATGTAATATATATACGCATATATATATATATATATATATATATACATACCATATATATGTATACCATTCAATGTGGACAAATAGACCATAAAGCAAATGAAATCGTTTATGTTTGTATTCTCTGCATATTTTTTCTTTTCTCTTTTCATTTTTTTTTTTTTTTTTTTTTTTTTTTTTTTTTTTTTTTTTTTTTTTTGAGAAACATTTCGTCTATGGTATTATTTTCTGTCAAAACATTGCATATGGGTGAAGGCATCAAATAAAGAAAGATGCCCATTGAAAGGAAGGCAATTGAATAAACAATTATCGAAAAATATACCGATCGCAACGTTTTTATGCTCATTATATGAGTCCTGAAGCTAGGGAATGCTTTGAGGAAATATAAAAACCTTAATATTTTTGCGTGCATTCTCTATTTGTGTTTTTTAAGTTTACAGTATAATTACAATTTAGTGAGCTGCCATATCGACAGTCAGGAAAGAAACACTTAACTGCACATAACACCCCTGAGTCTGAGAGGAAAACACCTAAGGCAAACCGGGTGAAAAAATCGACCGCTAAGTACCTTACACTATTTCTCTTAACGTCATAAAATACCATAAATAATATGGAAGAGGAATTCAAAAGATGGAACGGAACTTGTTTTTAATATAATGCTAAAAATTAGACCTGTTCACCCTATGAAAACTTAGTTTTTATAAAAACGATTAGATTATATGGGAAAATGTTCAAAAATGAACAACAATGAATTTTGGACTAATTTTCCTTATGCCTTTTACTATCCGATCAGAATAATCGAGTTTAGCATTTGTAACCATTTCGCGTAACTTTCTCATTTTCATCAATAGAGGTCGCTGTTTAAAATGCATGCAAGTACCTTGTCGTCATATAGCGATTTAAATTTTGTAAAAACCTTTTTAATGGGGAGGGCGTCGAAAATATTGTCCCGCCATATAAATATGTTCCACGCTTACCTAATATGTTGCACTGGCAACGTTGGCTTGTAAACCTTTGTTTTTTTCTTTTTAATATAATGTCTTTGTTTTAGATGGGGCGTTGTATGAGGAGTGGTCCGAATTAGTCTAGTTTTAATAGCATTAGTCCTTTATTGAATTTGAATGAAACATTTTAAAAATTTCCATCTGTAGGTTGAACGCAAAACACATGAACAGACATCCGTTATTAAGACAAGAGAAGCGTAAAACGATACAGAAATGATGAGGATCCTTCTAGATGTTACATAACTTTGCAAAAATTAGATATGTGCTACGTCGCAAGCAATGGCGGATATAATATAGGGGAAGCTGACTGACCATCCTTCTAACAAATGTGTTTTCATTCTAATGAATCTCTAACAAATTTAGATCGATTCGATCTCAGATCTGGTTGAGGTGTATACTATACTTCTGGGAAAATTTCTCCGATACGCTCTCAAATAGATACGAACTTGAAATTTGTTGTTGTTTTTTTTTTTTTTTTTTTTTACTAAAATTGCCGATTTTTCAAGAAAAATGAAAAAATTTTATATTTTCGCTCCTAAACAGATGTAGAAGCCGCGAAAATCGATAAAATGCCTGTTGAGAGTAAGAAGGCAACTTAATGGTAAAATATTATAGTCACGCCCATAAACGTTAAAGATCGAATTAAAATCAATCTTTGTAAAAATTTCTCCAAGCAAATCATTACAATGTTCATATCTATCGTTATTCTCATACTTTAATTGGAAATTTAAAAAAAAAAAAAATTATTAGATCTGTTACAATGCAATCACAAAATTAAAGGGAATTTTCATATATAATTTATTTCATTTTCATTTTTAAAAGATCAAGGAATCTCGTTATAGGCTTCGTCTCGATCATCAGGACCATCTAAAGTTTTAATATCTTCAATGTCATCTTCGTCAGGACAATCGCGACAATGATTTTCGCTGAGACCATAATTGAAACAATTTATACCAACACATTCACAACAACCATCGAGAAACCAACGATAACTGTCAGCACCCTAAAAATTTCTTTAATAAATTAATTTTGTAATTATTATGAGGGCAATTGCGCGAATCTTACCAAATTGGAACAATAATCCATACATTTTCTATGACCAAAACAATTATTTAAAAAGATAATAACGCAATCGGAATGATTGCCAACGTTAACCGGGATATTTAAAGCGGTCCAATCTACGTCATCTTTCTCGGCCGCATATGAATTAAATAGTGTCGGTATGCCATCTAAGTAGCCTGTCTGCGAATTGAAAGCTAAAGGACTTTCGTCGCCTAATGTGGGGCAGATTTTTAAGCAACTGCAGCAATCAAGAAATTTCGCTCCGAGACAATGAAGACATCGATTGGTACAAAAAACATCCGCAAAGTCACATTGACAATCTTGCATTAACTGACATTTGCTAACCACCGAAGTGCACGCATATTCATTGCATTTTTTATATTGGGCAACACACATTAAAACCGTAAATGATGTCAGTATTATGAACAAAAATTTATGCCACATTTCTAAACACAATTAATTGTTTTCAACAAATTTTATGAAAGTATTTTTAACAAATTTTAAAAATTATATTTAATTACTAGCGAATCTTTTAAAACACAAAACACTTAAACGAATTATGTCGTCTGATCGGCGAGCAATAATTTACACACAATATTACAAAATTTATTTGTCTTTGATTTTCTTTTATTCTTCACATTTCAATATCGTATATGAAGATATAACGGTTTATTCGATTACTTGTAAAAAAACTGCAAACATAACGACAACAATGATGCAAGCATAGAAAGCATAGAAATTTCGTATATTCTATAGTTAAAGTTCAATGAAACATATCGTACATATATATGTACATTTATAGAATTGATAATATTAGGTAGTTTAAACAATACTAAGCCAATTAAAAAAGATTAGGTGAGAAGAAAAAAAAAAAAAAAAAAACGTATATTGCGTAATTGCGCTGGTATCGTTACAGTTTTAAATCGACCTAGAATTCGATCAAAAGCTTCTGGGCTTTATAAGGTCTCTAGAGCGCATTTTTTGAGGTTACAAACAGAATTGAATACATTTCGTATATTTTGTGATGAATGAAGAAAGATTCCAAGTTAAAAGTGCGTTCAACATAAAAGCTCCTTAATATCAGGCAAAATATATTAGATACCACCGAAGTATGCAAGCTTTTCCATTTTGTCAATGGGCTTACAGCTCTCGGAGCTCGGAACTTTCAAAGATTCTATTAAATGCACATATTTTTAAGCATCATCAAGCATGTCCGTCCCTCTGTCTGTATCACGTTTTTCCCGATGAAATATCCGCATTCGAAACTCTTGCGAAACGCATTTTGACATTGAAAATGAATCAAATCGAGCTTACAGTGCAATATAAGCTGAGAGCACTTTTTCTTTTCATCTAGATAGACAAACGATAAAGAATTCGACCATTATCGAATATAATTTTCTTATTTGTTTAATTTCGCAATGCATTTTTCTACATGTATGTATTAATTGAGGTTATGTTTATATTCTAATATCAAGGTACACACTTACTACGTATGGAAACATAAATGCGTTAAACAATTGCTTTTACGTTTTCGTTAAGAATTGAAAAATGAATTGAGGTAGATTTTTTTTTTTTTATTTTTTCTTTAACATTTAAAAAAAAACTTTAAATTGCAGCTTAATTAAATTCTAGTTTTATGTTCGGATCAAGTGTTGACTGGACAAAGAATACAAGAAAATAAGACTTAACTGCAATTCGATCGTTAGCAACGTAATAACACAAGTTAACACGACACCAATACGCTAAGACAAGACAAAAAAAAAAAAAAAAAAAAAAAAAAATGGTGTATGCACGATAAACGCCCCACGAAACAGGCGTAAATATTTTGTGTGAGAAAAATGGTTTTAAAAATGAATTTTTTATTTTTTCAATGTACTTGTATTCACAAGTACGAAAATTATATTCGGCTGGGTCCGAATCTCGCATACCATCCCCCGTTAAAAGGTTTAGAGCCCCGTACTACTACTTATGTTATCCTCCATCCTTTAGTTAATTGAAAAGAGAAATGCAATCGGTCACATGTTAAAAGTCCTTTTATTTTATATTCTGATCGGCGGTATTGTTAAGAAAAATGCAATCGACCAACTGATCGTGATGTCCGCTATATTTGTATAATATATCGTCATTTGAGCAAATCTCCTACAAAATACTTTTAAACATTCTGTCTTGTTTAACACCTATAACTTCACTTGTAATCTTGTGTGGGCATGACCGAACTTTTCAATGCTTTCCGTAAAGTAAATATAGACAATTTCAGCTTTCTATCTTTCAATGTTTTAAACTTTTGCATTGAGTAACAGAATTGCTGTGGGCTTGCGTTCCGATCAATTTGGTCCATTTTCAATATTCCACCTGCTTGCGAAAACTTTCAAATGTTTCTCTCGAATTTCAAGTCGAAATCTTTATTTTTGCGACAAGTAGAATATCAATAAAACACACGCAGACAAACAGGCATGGCTTAATCGATTGAGAACTTTATGCTGAGTAAGAATATATATATATATATATATGTATATACTTTAGGGGATTTTGAAAGTTTCCTTTTGAGTGTTGCAAATATTATGAGAAAATGAGCATACGCTCCATTTTCCGGTGGTGAGTATAATAACTTAGTCTATGCAATAATTTTTTCTTTCACATGAAGTATTATTAAATAAAGATAAACAAGTTTTTATTTTTTTTTTATTTTTTTTTATTTTTTTTTTTCATTAAAGTGCCATGTACTCTTATCGTGGTCAATGATTTCGGTCAGCATTTTTCATTAAAGTTATTAGTTTATTGCATTTCTTGTTCGATACGATTTACTAACCATCACCATCATCATGTTCATCATCGTTTTTTGTAATACAAGTTATAATATAAAGGTCATCAAGTTTTGCATACATTTTTTTGTGACATGTTCTTTAATACGTCGGCATTAGCGTGTGTCATTGAAAAGCATATCCAATAAACGCTCGAAACAAATGTATTTTTATTCACATATACTTGTTATGAAGGAATGCGTGCAATATTTCATATCAATTTTCATTAAGTGCGTCCCTCAGCGAAATTCGTTAGCAATGCAAGGCGTGTTATTCTATTTGCTCTCAATTCAATTTTACATATCGAAGACGTTCACAATGTTACATACAAGTGCGACTCAGAATTCTCATAAAGATTTTTACCATTTTTTTTTGTTTACCTTAATAAATAAATTCGTACGATGGCACTTTTATGCATGCTTATTGGCATGAAGCGGTTTTAAATTTAAAAACTTTATCGTGTTTCTGATTGAATTTTTGCAAAGCAATAATTTTGTTCGCTTTTTGCGGTAATTGTATTCTAATGACAATGTAATCAGCAAAAAAATTAAAAAATTTTTCCAAAAATTTTGCAGTATACCTAGGATAGACCTTCATAGGATCGAATAGTTAAAATGCCAAAGGAAAATATAAGAAATGTAAACGCAAGAGAATTAAATAAAAACTTGAGCCTCAAAGTATTTTATTTCATTTTTATGATCATTGCTTATTTTAGACTTATTTTCGCTTCTGTTCAAATGAATTTATTTTTCAACATCACACTCAGTTGCTTTCTCAACTATGATAATATATGTTTGCATTCTTGTGTTCGAGTGCCATAAGCTATTTCAACTGTTAAGCGGTTGTAGTGCTTGCACTAGTGTCCCTTTGTTATGAGCGCTATTGTTCTACTTATTTATTGTTTTGTTGAGCTCATAGAAAAATTATACATAAAAAGACATAAAAGTATCTAAACAAAAGATTGTCTTACACATGGCTTTATTTAAGCTAACATTAACACACACATATAGACGTATAAACGTAATCATTATCTAAAGTACATTAAAGTCTTTTCTTACGCGTTACGTTCCTGAAAATGATGCGCAAATTCAATTCACTTAAAGAGAAGTACGAACTCTATTAAGTCGATCGGTACATGTTTGATTAAGAGTTTTTATTAATTAAGAGAAGAGAGCAGAGCGACAGAGAAGCTATAATTTTTTTCCACTCTTCTTAAGCTGTTCTCTATTCTTTTTTTTTTTTTTTAATTTTTTTTTTTTTTAACGATCATTATAAAAAATATTAATTAAGAAATCTTTAGTTGCTCATGCAGGTATACCCTGGATCATATATATATATATATATCATAGCTGTTTTGTTAAGTATGGTCATGCCAGGGCGGCGATTAATAGCACAACCGTTTTACATATTACTTCGTTAATATTTTAGCCGAGTTTTATATGGCTAATTGTTTTAAATCGTGGGTTTTTGGAAAAAAAATTTTTTTTTTAATTTTCGACAATTGTTCTTGCCGATGTTAATAACTTTGCGTGGACGTATGTAACGCGCAGAAGGGCTTAAGATATACCCATCTTTCATTATATCGATCTAAGCATGTCTGTCCCTTTGTCCATCTCAGGTCTGTTCATGGTAATTTGTGTTTAACCTGCAGGTAGCAATTTTTGCGATATTATAATGAAACTTGGTACACTAATGTATTTTAACCCAAGGACGAACACTTTTGAAAATGGTATAGATTGGTCCACTTTTTCGACCATTCTGCATGTAACGTTTTGAATTGAAAAGTCGTTATATGAAAAAAATTGCTGAGTAATACTATTTCGAAATTCTAAATTGGTATGCGGAATTTAGTTTGGCGGGCGAAATTTTTTGAACCTCTTGTCGTACAACCGTTTCTAGGAAAACTGAATCTTTATATAGTGAAAAGGTTCAATTTGCAATATATTATGATGAGAATTGGTTCATATAAGTAAATTGGCAAAGATATCAACCTTGCGTTGTTTCGATCACGTAAATCTGTTTTTTGGATACCACCGCGTATAAGGATTCTCAGGAAACGTAAGACCTCATATTCCAAAAAGATCTGGTTGATGAAAAGAGTAGCGTGAACTTAAGACATATTCCATATAAAAGTTTCAATTTAAAACTTAATTATTTACAAGACATACGTTATCTATATATATGTATATATGTCGAGGTGTGTATTTACATAATATGTTTATGTTATATACATGTATATATACGCTTCAACACAAAATGTGTGGGAACCTGTTCATTAGAAGTTTTAGATATTTCCATGCATTTGGTTAGTGTTCCTGATTGTGTGAGGACTCGAGTTATTTGCGAATGGATTTGTTAAAGTATTTCCAGAAGAAAAAGATAAACAGAAAAGCAAAAGGCGGAACCGAGCGAAGGACAGATGGATCGATAGGCGAGCGGACACTATCGGTCGACCAGATAAACGAAGAGATTGATAACCTAATAAACAGACAAACGGTAAAATGGATCGTTGTATGAGGACGAATGGATCCAAGGTCTAGCGTACTGACGACTGGATTGGCAGGCATTAAAACAAGTTGACAAATGTAAAATATTGAAGTCACTTACAGTCGCAAGTTTATCGGCAATTGTACTCTTCTGCGCATGCGTGTGTGTGTATGTGCATTTTTATCTGCATGTCACGTATGTAATGTAAGAATTATGATAATTTTTGTGTATCGTCGATTCTTTATATGCTGTTGTGTTGTTATTAAGCTGTTGTGTTGTTAAGACAAAATAATTTTTAATGATTTTTTATTTCTTCTTCTTCTTCTTCTTCATTTTTTGTTTTTGTAAGTTTCCATTTAGAGAAAGTTGTTTTACAAAATACATGTTGATTTGTTTGTTTGTTGATTCATATACATACAACCACAACTTCCCTAATTTTCAACATGGACTATGGTAAAATTGAATTGATGAAGTGACTGCTTTAGGAAAGAAAAACAAAAAACAAAACAAAAATGAAAAATAAATTAACAACTTAATCTTAGTTCATTTACTACACACACCTTGGGTAGCGATTAATGCATATTAACATGAAAGATTGTAGCTGCCTTAGTTTTACGTTATAACAATTTCTTGCTTAGCTAGTATGTCTTTGTGTATGTATGTATGTATGTATGTATGTATGTATGTATGTATGTATGTGTGTGTGTGTGTATGTGTATGTGTGTGTGTGTGTGTGTGTGTGTGTGTATTTATGTTTCGAAAGAATTTAAAATTCCATTTACCCAAATACCATCAGGCAAATAAATCATTATAATGCACGCAGCGTAATTAAAATTCTTCTAATGTACGTGGTTGTGTAACTCAAGTCAAGTGCAAAGTTAAAGAAAAACAGAACAAGTGATTTTAACTAATTTAACGTAAGCATTTAGGTCCATTTTTTATAAGATCTAAAGAGTTTAGTAAATAATATGAGTTTGAAAATTAACAACTAATTAAGAACATAATATTAGGTCGTGAACGAATCCTTTATACCCATGACCGATTAAACGAAAGCAAAAGAAATACATTTTCATATCCTATAATATCGGCCGGACTGTGGCTGCGGCTGATCTTTTCTATTTATATATCGTCTTATATGAGTAACAAGCGAAAAACACGAAAGCAAAAAGTCTAGAATTTTTATTGTAGAGGCATGCGGGTATTAGAGGCGTGTTCTTTGGCCGGTTTGGATCATTTTAAAATTCTTTTGCAGATTTGCAGACGATTTATCTACTTTTGCGAACGAGAGAGAATGTGTACCAAAGACACTACGCGATTGGACAGACGGCTCGATGGACAGGTAAATAGAAGGACATGCTCAGGTTCATTCCAAATTTTGCACAGGCCACGAATTTACGTAGTTTATGGGTTTTTTCTCTATAGAGATATCGAAAAAAAAAAAAAATTAAATTTTGATACTCTTTAAAATTG